TTCTGAATGGGAAGAAAATGGAGCTCATGTTGCCATTTACTGCCACTGTGGGATGCTGATTGCCAAATCTTAGCTGTTAGCAGCTCTCCTCACCTTTTGATAGTTCTCTTCAGTCATTTTGCAAAGGAAGCTGGCATTTAGAGAGCTCAGCATCATTCCAGAATGATACCTGATGGATTTCCAAGTGCCTGACTGGTGTATTTTAAAAATGTTTTAAATTTCCCACTTGCATTTTAAGTTTCAGTGTTTCCATAGTTTCTTTCAATCAAGCATCCAAATAGCTGATAGCCTGATCTTCTGGGAAATGTTCTGTTATTTAAAACCTACTCCATTTGAACTATTCCCTCTCACCACTCACAAAGATCTCTGTGAACAAAACCTGATTAGCTATTGGAACTAATGCCTGAGGCTGATGCTTTGAATACACATTCTGAAAATGTTTTTAAAATGCAAACACACCAATATTGTGTAATTTCATATTGTAATAACCCCCATGCCATGTGTCAGTTACAGAGGTGGTGTGCTAAGGAGAGAGATAACATCTGCCAAGAACTGTTAATAGTACTTTGGTTAATGAGTTTGTGCAACCCTCCATTCATAAAATGAAATCCATACATATGTGCCTTTCTAGGATTTTAGGCTGAATAAAGGGGTTTTTTTAATCACAACTATAAGTATTTCTCATTTATTTTGAGTAGTTCTAAAGGCAGAAATGATTCTTTTACATTTTCCAAATACAAGCTGTGTGAACAACAGCACATCCAGAGTTTTGCTACAGTAGTTAAAAATGCTCATTGCTAAGCTGTGCCATTTTCCAGCAAGGACCTGATGCAAGAAAAATAACTAGTACATGCATAAAGACAGCTACTTCAGAACTGCCCAGTAATTATGTGATTAGGTGAAACTGTTTTGTTACTAGGTTGTCCATCATACGCATAAACCAGAATTCACTGTAATTACAAAGTACATGGGAACAATGCAGTAAAATCAGACAAGCATGTAGAGGGCTTGTGTACACAGGGTAACAAAATTGTTCTAAAACCGCACAATGCAATCTGAAATAAGGCCCAAAAGAGTGAAGGGATTTGGAAGGGGGTAGAAGGGTTGCATACTGCAGGAGCTGCCACAGCCCCACTATGATGGAACAGAGGACAGCTTGTGCCAAACTGAGTGATTCTTAGCACATTGTATAGAATATGGTAATCTTCCCTGAATTTTCTTGCGTGATTGCTTTAAATACTAAACATTGCTGGAAGGTACCTATGGACAACATCCATTTATTATCTGGTTACACTAAAATTGCTCTGCAGGCCAGCAGAAATTCTCCCAAGTGCAGATTGACTTTTGCTCGTGATCTTGTAAAGGTCTTTAAAATGCGGGAAGGACTCCTATCACACAAGGTATCGCAGATCTTAATAAGGACTCAGTTTCCTACATTTGTATCCATGTTGGCTGTGATTAAAAAGAAAACCAACGAAAAAGTAGACTCCTTCTTTTTACAAAAGTTAATTACACATTCCCATAGAAAGCAAGTTAACATTTCCATCTACCAAAAGCAAACCCATGAAGAAGAATCAGTGCAAACCCTAAAGTAAATCAGCATAAAAGCTTAAACTACTTGATAAATTGGCTATATCCACTCCATTACTTGCCCAAATGGGAAAAATCCAATGTTTAAATCCTCAATAAAATGTAACACCTGGGCACATACACAAAACCAAACACACAGGTTAGAAAGTGTTAGTAATGACTAAAGATTATGCTGTTTCACTTGTATATAGGTACCACATGGCAACATTGGGTCATTTTACTCAGCTTCCACCCACAGCTCAGTTTAGCCAATAAAGGATATTTTATGGATAAACCACATAACTCCATTCTTGCTACAACCACGTAGAGTAGAAGAGAAAATATAAATAGTAAAATGTGCATGTAAGTAAATTGGAACGAAGAAATGCTTCTCCACTTTCCACACATGATCTAAAAAGACATTGTCAAAAATGCAACCAGCATCTTACCCCTACATTTTTTCCAGTTTTTAGTGAAAATCAGCATCTGTATAAGGTGTTACAATTAGCTCTAATAAGGGAGAGAACCTGTTCTGTATCATTTTTCTTGACCTTTGAGCTGCATGCATAGCTAGCTTTTCACAGGACGGCACATCTCTTTCCAAAAATTACATGCTGTAACTAGTATGTTCAATCTTCCAGTGAGTGGGAAACAAACAAAACACAAGAAATACTGGCAGCTCTGTTAGTAAATATATGTGGAACTGTGCAAATAATAATTTGGGGACCTAGACTGTCATTAATATGTTCTGAGACTCTTCTACTTTAAAATAACTACGAGAAAATTCACTTTTAAACTAACATTGCAGAGATTTAAATATTTCTTAAACAGTAAAAACGCCAACGAAAAACCTTGTAGCCAGTAGATGGTGCTACATTCAAGCAGTATTCCTAAAATATGCCATCACATTGTCTATGCCATCAAATTACTGCTTGCTTACTTCAATCATTTCTAAAAAGGGAATTATTTAAATTAGCATTTGTTCTGGCCTGCTCAGAAACACCAATTACAGGTCTCTCTCACTGACTGCTCCTGGTCTCATGCTCCTAACTATGCTAATATCTCTTGGCTTCCAATCACCATTATTCTCACTTTTGGCTTTATTAGTAGAAGTCAGTCTTTTCAAGAACAATACTGAGATATTAGACCTCTTTGCATTTACATAATTCTGCTCATTTACTCTGAAATCTTGGGTCTGGGGCAATTAATTTTTTTCCATTCACTTCCCTGCACCAGTATATCATCTAAGCAATTCAGTTTAACACCTGAATTTCTAAATTATAGCATGATTATTGTAGTGAACTGTGACAAAGCATTTCATCACCAGAATCATTGATGAAATCGTCTTGTTCCGTGGATGAAAATTATTTTTCACCAGCATGTCTGAAATATTCAGTGTATCCAGCAAAAGCAGCACAAAAACCCATACACTCCTCTTACACTGTCCCCTGCCCTGGCAACAAAACGTGCACAACGCATGTCCATAGCAGGTTCCATCTGAAACATGCAACAGCCTCCAAAGCAGGGGCAGAGGTTCTCAACTACAGCAATTGCTCCTAACACAAAACAGGAGTCTCATGAACTGTATCACTGTCTTTCATTCGCCTCCATGTGCTTGGGTTTGCTCTTGGAGAAGGCTGGTAACTGAGAAGACCCCGTCTCCTTTTCTTCTTGTCAATGCTCAGTGGCTTGTAATCCCTGGAGAAACACGTCCATATAAACCACCCTGCCTGTGAAAGCTGCATGTTCTGGTAAGGCAGTTTATACACAGATACACTGTTAGTCTAGCAAATGGGTTATACTCTTGCATCGGCACATGGATTAAAGGGATGCATAGTTAAAATTCTCCCACCCAAAATTCCAGTTTCACCTAGAAAGCAGTGACAAAAATCAATCTATTTCACACAAAAAATATTGATTTGGGCATAATTCAGAAACAACTGATTCAGCTTGCGTGTTTTGGCAAAACCATCCTCAACTGTAGCCTTCAGGAAACAGCATAGCTGAGACATGGAACAACAGATGCAGGAGTCCCGGCTCAATCTACAGCCCCTTCAGAAGGCTGCAAAGCCTGAATGAGGGCAAATGGGAACACCCCAGCAGGGGGACCTGCTGTTGACTGACAGCCGGCTGAACAGGAGCCAGCAGTGTGCCCAGGGGGCCAAGAAGGCCAATGGCATCCTGGCTTGTGTCAGCACTAGCGTGGCCAGCAGGGACAGGGAAGGGATCTGACCCCTGTACTCGGCACTGGGGAGGCCGCCCCTCGATTCCTGTGTTCAGTTTTGGGCCCCTCACTACAAAAAGGACATTGAATGACTCGAGCGTGTCCAGAGAAGGGCAACGGAGCTGGTGCAGGGTCTGGAGCACAGGTCGTACGGGGAGCGGCTGAGGGAACTGGGGGGGTTTAGTCTGGAGAAGAGGAGGCTGAGGGGAGACCTCATCACCCTCTACAGCTGCCTGAAAGGAGGGTGCAGAGAGCTGGGGACGAGTCTCTTTAACCAAGTAATAAGTGATAGGACAAGAGGGAATGGCCTCAAGTTGCACCAGAGAAGGTTTAGGTTACATATTAGGAAGTATTTCTTTCCAGAAGGGGTTGTTAGGCGTTGGAATGGGCTGCCCAGGGAGGTGGTGGAGTCCCCATCCCTGGAGGGGTTTAAGAGTCGGGTCAACTTCGCGCTGAGGGATCTGGTGTAGTTGGGAACTGTCAGTGCTAGGTTAATGGTTGGACTGGATGATCTTCAAGGTCCTTTCCAACCTAGTTGATTCTGTGACGACCCTCCACATCCTCCGCACAGGTGATTTGTGGCAGCCATGGCTTTTCTTCACAGGCAGTCTGTAGCCTCCCATTCTTGAATAGGAATGAATCACCAACGTCTACAGCTCCGGAAGGGAGATAAACATATTTCTGTGTCTCACTGGGATAAGGAAAGGAAATCATTTGATGTTGAGAGATGATCAGATAATATGACTGTAGAAGTAGCCAAGATAAGGACTCCTTTAGAGTATCAGTATGGATTGAGCTTTCAGAAAGTACCAGTGGAAGGGTCTGAACAAGTACTGTGTTTTGTTTTGGTTTTTTTTAATACTGTTTAACTGATCAAGATTCAAATCTGATTG